TCCCCCTCCCCCACCGCTCCCCTAGTTGGACGCATCGCTCTGCAACTACACACAATGACAACACGCTGCGATAACTAGAGTCCCTTTTGGCTGGTACATAGCTTGAAGTGGGAAAACATTGCGGCGCGAGCCTCCCTCCGGCGTCGCGCACCCGTCATTTACACACGCATCTCACACAGGCACGGAGGACGGAACACCACTACGCACTCTGCGGGGATGAGACAAATTCATCGCACAACTCGATTGTACTTCCGAGTAACAGTAACATAATGCAGTACACGGGGGAGAAACAAGCTCAGGCGCTTTGCGCCAAAACGCTTTCATTAAAGCGCCACATAATGCATCGTCTTTAAACAGTGATTAAACAGTAACAACGAAAGAATTCAATTTGCAGTTACAAAGTGATGCATTGCAATAGCAAAGCAATGCTTTGCAGCGTGTTTCATTGCTTCCCTAGAGGAAAAGTTAACTGAGGATTGCCGTTATCTAACTGCAGATGAACTGCAACTGCTTTTGGCCGCGAATTACTAACTGCGACTGGGATAAGAGGATTTTCCCGGATTATTCCGACATTTTAATTTGAGTTTAGCTAACGTGAAATCAGCCAAAACGCAGTCTATGCATCAGTTATTTTACAGCTAAAAGCTGTCACATTTTCATACTGAAGTTCAACTAAACAGAGCTGCTTTTCGACTGCGGACGTGACTAAGAGTCACTGGAAATAAATTCTCTCGAGCTGATACCGACTGATTCTTCTTTCAGTTACTTGAGAACCACTTTCAGTCACTTTAGTCGAAGTACAAATACTATCAGTCAGCCAAAGATCCTATATTTTGCCTCTGTTTTAGACGGCTTTTGCATAAGCGCCATGTCAGTAAAATATATTCAAAATTTAGTAACTGTCAGTCGTCCCCCTTAACTAAAATTTGACTATGTCGTAACTAACTTTTGCGAGAGTACACGCTCCAGCAAGATTAGTCATTTTATAGCTACATGCAGTTAAACTTTGTGACTGCGTTGAGCTGAAGGTTTGCTCCTTTGTTACCAGAGGGCTGGACTTAGAAAATTTCTCTTCGAAGACCTTCACTCCGTAGCGGGTTCTGACTGCTCGCAACGCAGTGACATTCAGTTAAAAATCAGACAATATCAGTCGAAAGTCAGTTCACCCGTCATATAGTCAGAGAGTCACTCTACCACGACCAGTCGTGCCCAGACAGATGCGTATAGCGTAGTGGTCTAGAGTGTCGACTTCCGTCCTGATATTTCAAGGTTCAAATACGCATTTTTTTTCCTTTTTTTCGAAGTATAATTAAAATGTAGCAAAAGTCAGTCAAGTGCAGCAAAGCTTTTCAGTAGACTCCAGGGTAAGTGACAGATAACATCAGTCGCGCCTTCAGTTCCTCTTAGGTGATATCAGTTAAAGTTAGTCAACCGCCAGGTAAAACGCAGCTAAAACACAGCCGAGGTACTCAGCTAATATCAGTGCACTCCTGTTACAGGGAAAGCCCTCAGTAGAACGTAAGTCAAAAGTCTGCAATTTTTAGTGAAAACGCTGGAAAACGCCGCTAAACGCAGTCAATCTTAGTTAAAATCCGCCAAATGTCAGCTGATATTTTAGCTAACTTTCAGTAAAACGTCAGCAATTCCCAGTTGCTTTTTTCCTCTAGGGAATTTGCAATTGCACAGCATCACTGTGTGATTGCAAAGTAAATAATGTCATGTCCAAATGATCTTTATACTTCGCAAGTTCTGCAAAGCATTGCTTTGTAGGGATTTAACAGTGCTCGTTCGTAATCAGATTCCGACGTGCCATCGGTATCCTGCTGCTCTTCGAGAACTGTGTGCCACTGTCAATGATGGAGCGATATGTGAGTGTTTCAACTGCCAAAAGCGGACAGAAAATCCCCCTTCGCTTTTAACCCCTTCATATTTTCAACAGCAAACACTCGGACGGCCCTCCCCTGCCGCAGGCTACCCTCCACTTCGAGACAACTCTCGGTGGAAAAGGTAGCGCTTTCTCCTAATTATGAATCTATACGTGTTTACCCTCCTCATCACTTTTCCCATACCCGTGGCACCACCAGCTGCACGCTTCACTAGCACATGCCACAGTATATTCCCTACAACCGCCAGTACTCGACGTCTCCCTTCATCTGGTTAGGACCAAATGTTGTAAACGTCGCATGGATGACTAATGATATTCCCTTCCGGCGGTTGGACAAGGCTGGTGGGGTTGGGATGGTGGGAAGGATCGGGAAGAGTTGAGGGTGGGTGGTGGAAGGGGGCAGGACAGAACAGGACAGGCCGGTCCGCTTTGGGGTCCCGGCCGCCCCCCCTCGGGCCACTTCCGGAGATTTTAAAGTGAGCCGCGGCCCAGCCTGGATCACAGGGGGGGAGTGCGGAGTACAGCGACCTTGGGGCGGAAGAGACAGAGAGAGTGAGAGAGGGGGCGGGGGAGAGGGGGGGAGAGAGAGGGAGAGGGACAAAGAGAGAGAGACGCAACACAGAGACGAGCGGGAGCATGGAGGTTAAGAAAATGAAGGTGTAATGATATTACTTCCGCTCTCCTCCCCGGGCCCGAGCGCTCTGCCCTCACCCCGCCCGACCCCACCACAGACAAGACCGGGGGTGGCGATGCGTGGCGGAGACGGGCGGGAGGCACGTGGTAGTTAGACGCACTCTTGTGGCGCGGCGGGGTAGTTAGACGCGCGCTTGTGGCTGCGCCGCCCGCGCGGCCACGGGGGGCGCGGTGTGGTGCTTCCGGAAGTTTGAAACCTTACGCGACTGCCGCTCTTATCCTGACTGACGCGCAATGCCGCTGGGAGACGGCAAGAAACGATTACGCGGTCGTGGCTGCTGGGCGGGGAGGGGTATGGGGTAGGGCAGCCCCAGGTGTGCGCGGGTGCGAGGCGGGGCGGGGCAGCCGGGTGGGATTGCGAACGAACAGCGGGTCCGCTGGGAGAGCGACTCGTGCCAGCCGCCTGAGGGCCGCAACGGCTTTTTTGCTCCATCAGAACAATCCATCCCTCATTCTATACCCCCCTTCCCCCCGTCCTCCCCCTCGACCCTCTTCGCCTGGAGCAGAGCATTCCACCGCATTGGTTGTGCTGTCCGACAGGCGGCTTCAGGCCCAGCGCGCCTGTTGCGTTTCATTCCGCGGGGAGGAACGAAGCCGTACGGCTGTCTCATCCCCCCGCCACCACCACCACTCCTCAGCCCCTCTGCGCGCTTAAAATATCTCTCTTAACTGAGATCGAATTAACGGAATAAGCGAGAGACGCGGCAAACAGACTTCGCAATGTAGCGCGGGACACTGTTAAACATCCCAACAATTATCTTGTAGAGTGCTAAACGCGCATTGAGGGATGACATCACTTTCTTCTCCATGGCTCACCAACAATGATACACCAATACATCAAGTGTGCAACTGACATTCGCATGCAAGTGCTTAACACAAGACTACGTTGCACACTTTTAAGTGCTTTTTGACTAAGTACTTGAATAGGTACTTAACACCACACCATGTGCATACCCGTTTCCACACTTTTGTTTTAATGGTGTACATTTCACAATGCACTGCAACACATTATGACAGGAAAAATGACAGCATCGACCGCTAATTATTTTCGAGCAACGTCTGTTATTCGAATAACAGTATTGCTCGGTATTGCTATAGATTCAATGGTTAACATTAGGTATGGAGAGGAATGTACAGGACCACCGCACAGGCAAAACTGAACAAAACTGTCTACAGTGGAGCCGTATTCGTACACTGTACCGTGTAAAACCTGTGCTTTCCTGTGTTATAACGACTCTGTACTCCGCGCGCTGTACCCTAAGGTACAGTGATTAAGAGCGGCATCTACAGTAACGCCGTAGATCGTTCCGTTTTAGACTCTTTGTTTTTTACAGTGTGTGTGGGGTTCGCAAGCGTGCCGCGTCCCCCCGTCTCGTCCGTCCACGTGCTGGGCCAGCACCACCCCTTACCTTGTCCCGCAGTGCTGTCGGTCGGTCACCACCCCCCCACAGGCACAAAGAGTTCTTGCAGCCCCCCCCCCCCCCCCGGTAAGTGACAGATAACATCAGTCGCGCCTTCAGTTCCTCTTAGGTGATATCAGTTAAAGTTAGTCAACCGCCAGGTAAAACGCAGCTAAAACACAGCCGAGGTACTCAGCTAATATCAGTGCACTCCTGTTACAGGGAAAGCCCTCAGTAGA